AGAAAAGAAAGAGAGAAAAGTAATATAAGGCTAGGTTTTTTTCTTTTAGTATATTCTATAAGATCCCTAGCTTAAGAATTTCTCCTAAGCTTTAAAAAATCGTAATAAAAGCCTTTTATATTCCAGAACTACTAAAATATAAGAAAAGATACTTGAGCTTCTTCTTTCTTATTCTAAGCTAAACCCTAAGGATTTAAATATAATTATATTCTAATATGTAATTCCCTAGTAAGAGAAGATTCTAGTATTTCTCACGTGATCCGTTTTTTTTACCGAGCCCCGTAAGCTAATTACTTAGAGTAGCCTAAATATAGAATAATATAGAAAAGATTACTTAATTATTTTAGAGCTTTTTATATTTAAATATTTAAATAAATACTATAATATATTAAGATTAATTAATTATTAATTAATTTTATTATTAATTATATTTTAATATAATAAATAAATATTTTTAATTATAATTATAAAAATATAATTTTTTAAAATATTATATTATAATAAATTATAAAGGAAACTATTTTACTTATTAATATTATTTTTATTTAATAAATAATTATAAACTATTAATTAATTTCTAATTCTATAAAATTCTACAAAATTCTATATAATTATATAAAATATAATATTATATAATTTTAATATTTATTTTATATTACTAATATATAAATTTAAATTAGAATTTAATATTATATTAATTTATTTAAATTAATAAATAATATTATAATATATAAAATTATTTAATTTCGAAATTATATATTAAATTATTTAAATTAAATAAATATTATTAATAAAAAGCTAATATAATTTATTATTAAGTTATATATATTATTAAGTTATATATATTATTAAGTTATATATATTATTAAGTTATATATATTATTAAGTTATATATATTATTAAGTTATATACTTTTTCTTAATATGAAACTTTAGATATTAATAAATTAATTAAAATCTAATAAACTAGATATATTTATAGCTTTTTAATAAATTCATATATTATAATTAGTTTTTCTATAGATCTTATAATACTATTTAGATAATTATTTCTCTTTATAACTTCTTTTTATTATATATATATTATATTATATTTACTTATTTATATTTTTTTATAATATAATATTTTATATATCTTTTATAATAAATATATTATTTTAATATATATAAGCCTTTTTAGTTCTATAATACTTGTTTAGTACTTTATTTACTACTCGAAATATATATATCTTTATAAATAAAAGAATCATTTTATAAGCTATTTTCTTTATATCTTTTACTAATATAATAACTATTTTGAAAAATAAAATTAATAAGCTTTTTTAATAATAGATAATTTAGTTAAATAAGAATTATTTATAAAAAAGCTTTATCTAAATTAAAAGAAGTTTAAGAGATCTAAAAATTAGTATTAGTAATAAAAAGTTTAAAGAATATTAAAATCCGTAATTTTATATTAAGCTTTAAAATTATAGCTTATAAATTAAAAGATATTAAGCTAGTTTTATAAAATCTAGCCTAAATATTTTAAGCTATTATTAATTTCTTATATATAGTAAAACCTTAATATAATAATATTAATTTTAGTATCCTTTTCTAATAATATATTAAGGTATTATTAAATTAAGAATTATATATATATATTATAAATAAGAAAGAAACTAAAGATATATAAAGAATCTCTTAATTCTAATATCTTATTACTTATAAGAAATCTCTTAAAAACTTCAAATAAGCTTATCTTACCTTTACTACTTTCCTTTAAATAAATATAGCTTTTAAAGTATTAAGCTTATATATAATCTCACTTTATTTATTCTCTTATTACTTTTTATAAAAATTTAGTAAATTAAATATAGCTATTACTTTAACTAACTTTATTTTCCTAATTTCTTTCTTTTATTTCTTCTATTCTATATTAGACTAAATATTTCCTGAATTTCCCTAAATATAATAATTTATAATTATCTCTAAAGCTATATTTTCTTTTTTTATAATTATCTTATTAACTAATATAATAAATTAGCTAATAAAAAAAGAATTATTAAATTAGGTTATATACTAAATAGTTAATTAGAGGATTTTAATTATTTCTTGATTTTTTATTTACTAAATGGCTTATTTTATATTAATTTTACTATAGGTATCGAGATTTTTACTAAAAAAAGGTTTTATAATAAAACTTGATTTATATTAGTAATTAGTAATTATAGAAGCTTTAATATAGTTATTTTTATTTACTTTAAATTATTTAATTATATAGCTAACTTATTACTAGTAATAATAAAACTTAAAGGTATTAATAATATCTTAATCTATTAGTTACTAATATAATATTATATTAGGAAATAGCTATTTAATTTATATATAAAAGAAAGCTTGTTTTCTATTAATAAGATTAATATTATATTCGTATTCTAAAAAGTTATTTATAAAGAGAAAAATATACTAGTATTAAGTAAAATACTTCTAATTAAGCTAATAAAAATATTTTATATAAATAATACTAGTTATTTACTTGAAATTATTATACTAGTATTATATATTTAAAAGTTAATAATTAATATATTTGAAATATTGAGGGTTTTTATTCTTTTTAATTAATTAAGGCTTTTATTTATTAGTATTTATAGTATTAATTATAAAAGCAAGAGTAATTCAGTCTTTATTCTTTTTACTTCTATTACTAGCCTTAGTTACTAGTATATAATTTAGTAATATTTTCTAATATAAACTAGTTTTATTTATATTTAAAATATTTTCAGGAGAATATATAGCTATTAAATCTCGATTCTTTTATATTTACTTAATATTTTCAGGGCTTTTAATATTTACTATATTATTTTTATTATAATAAATATATTTCTTAATATAGAAGTAATTCTTGAAATTAGTTAATTATTTATTAGACTATTTAGGCTCTGGTTACTTGTAATATTAGAAAAGAAAATATTAGATTTCATATACTTTTTATTTAAATATATTACCTGTAATTATTATTATTTACTATTATATTTTTTATTATTATTTAAAGAATATTGCTTTAAAATTAGGCTAATTAGATTAGCTTAATTATTAAATTATAAGACTTATATCTTTTTATATATTAGTATTAAGATAATTAAATTAAGTATTAAGGCTAAAAGAAATAATAAATTAGTTAATTTTATAATAGAACTTGTTCTAGAATTACTTAATAAAATTAGTATATATAGCTTTAGAATAAAATTACTTATATTTTTATAATATTTAGTAATTAGCTTCTATTATATTTCTTTATTATTTTTTAGGCTATTTAGGGACTAGAGAACTAGAAGTAAAATTAAGAAGCTATAATTTAGTAGAATTAATAGCCCGAGAAATATTAGAAGGCCCTAAAATATTAATAAATTAATTTATTTTCAGGTTAAATAATTAGAATAATATATTATTAAAAATTAAGAATTAGAACTAAAAACCTAATAATAATTATAATACTAAAAATATTATAAACTTAAAGCTAAAAAAAAAGTATAAGATTATATAATTATATTATATTACTAAAAATATTATTATATTATAAAATTATTATATTAAGGTTTTATTATATTATTATAAAAACTAAAAAGAATTTTACTTTTATAATATAATTAATATAGGCCTTAATAAATATCTTAATTTACTAATTATATATCTGTTTTAATATACTAAAGTATTTAATATTAAATAACTAAATTAAATAAAATAAAATAAATAAAAGGCAATTTAAAAGTTATAATATTATATGTTTTATAATACTTTTAAAACTTAATTAATTTATAACTCTTATATTTATTTAATACTAGTATTTAATATAGCTCCTTTATATAAGTAATAGTATATTTATTAAAGTATTTTAGTTATTTTAGACTTATTTTATTATTTGTTTATTTATTATTTATTAGTTTAATAATCTAGTTAAATAAAAGGCTACTATTAATATACTAGTTAAAGAAATAATTCTTGCCCTAAATTACTAAAAATAAAGAAATATTTTAATCTTTACTATTAATATAAGTAATAACTATAGCTTATTTCCTATTTTCTAACTAAATTATCTTATTTCTATTATATTAATTTATATAGATTATAACTATTATAATATAGATTATATTTATTATAAATCCAGTTTTATTAAAGTTATAAAAGTTATAGTCTAAAATCTCGTATTTTACTCTTATATTTTTTATTAGTTAAAATTATATATTAATTAGCTCAAAATCTTTATATAAGGCCCTTAAGAAATTATAAATATAATTAAAACATATTTTAAAAACTAGTTATTATTATATAAATTAATAAGCTTAAAGTTTATTAATATATTCTATTCTCTTTAATTCTAGAATAAAATTAGCTATATTTTTAATATTAGCTAGCTATAATACAAATTCTCTGAAATTTAGCTTAAATATATTTCAAGAATTTTTTTTTTTTTAGTATAATTAACTTATAATAATTAGATTATATTTTATTATAAAATATAAATTCAGAAATTCTATAGATTTTTATAATAGATTAATAGCTTATTTCTCTAAAAGTTCGAATAGCCTTAATAGCTAGAATAATTTATATTTCTTAAATTTGAATTTGTATTAGTAATTATTAAGAAAACGTATATTAAAGTTTAGAGGATATAATAAAGAGAAAAGTATATAATTTAATAATATATATAACTCAATAATAAATCATATTAGAATAAATCGTAATTAACTTTATTAAATAAAAATTAAAAGTTAAAATTAAAAAGAAACTAATATATATAAACTATATCACGTAGTAAGAAAGAGAGAACGTTTATTATTTTAAAATCTTAAGGTAAAGTATGAGTATTAGAAGCTATTATATAATTGGCTCGCTTCCGATATCGGCACGTGCGGAGCTAAATGCGCTGGCGTAGAGCTAAGGAATTAGTGCGGCGCTAATGGTGGCCTTATTAATCGATCCCAGATTAACCAGTTTGGCCCGTTATGTCTTTTCTTTAAAGCGCATTATTAATAATCCGTAGTACACGAGCCAATCTTATCAAAAAATCCTCGGCTCGCCAGTGACCCCTTAATATTCAGCTCTGTTTAGCTGTATATACTCTGGTTCAGCGTGGCAGAATCTAGCCTTCCAGCACTGCATGGGAATTAAGGCACCTCGGTTCTAACAGGTGAGGTAAATTCCTCAGGCCCTATTGGCCTTGATATCAGGCGCGAAAATCAGCCCCACCACAGAAGATATTCTAACCCTTTAATCTACCCAGTAAATCTAAAGCTCAAAAAGTTCTTCCTCAACAAAAAACAGGCTGCTGTCTCGACTTGCCTTTGCAGCAGCCTTTCTTGCATCATCCAGCAACTGCCGTGGCCCACATGTGCTCACCGCGGCATTCAAACCGGGTCGCACTCTCTTTACATTTTCCATCCACTTAACAACATCTGGTCTTCCTGGGATCATTTCCACTAGACCACTATATCTATGAGCATGCTCCTCCGTGCCTCCATCTTGGCCGACTGGCTCTATCTCGATTTCCGAGCTCGGTGTGGTCGAGCTTGAAGCAACTTGAAGCTGCGTCATCATCGAACCAGTAACATGAATTGTAACGTCGAACGTGGCTGGAATTGCAGGATCCGCCGCTATAGTGGCGAAGTTCTTTAGCTCTTTCTCGAACCATTCTGCGTGACAGGCGGCTTTAATCACCCACAAAAGATGAATATGCCACTCCTTGCCCAACTCTTTCTCGGCATCTCTCAGAGTTGACGCTCTGGCCATGATGTGCGATATGATGCTGATACCGGGTGTGATGCCGATACCACCTGCGACTATGACTGTCACGGGATAAAGTCCCCATTGAATCCCACCTACTCCGTATGGTCCGTCGAGTCGTATCTTCAGTTTTGTCACCATTTGGTCTTCCTTCTTCTCTGCACCACCAGAAGCCTCACCAAGCCGTTGTACTTTCTTCGTAAAGCCTCCGAGTCCCCTTACAGCAATTGTTGTATCCTCTCCAGGCGCAGAAGCGATAGAGAAAGGATGCCAATTAAACCACGAGATGCCAGGGATCTGAACCCACACGATTTGACCAGGTCTAACACTGCGCATGCCTTCCACTTTGAACTTCGTCACACCACCTTCATTCCATTTACTTTCCTTGACCTCCACGCTTCGAAAATTATACCAAAATCGGATCAGGCGATCAACAGCCCAGAGCCCAAGTCCGGGAAGGAGAAATTCAGGTCCGTTTGTGGTGTGGATGAGCGCTCCCACGACGAACACAAAGAACAGGAAATGCGAATAGTAGAATACTTCGAAGAAGCGTCGGCGCACAAATGGCAGACTGGTTGTAAACAGAATAGCTAGACTCAACCATGCCATGATCCCCACCCTGATCCGAGTGGCCGCCACGGCGTAGATAAGCTGACTCGTAATGATATCATGACGGATGTTCAGAGAGAAATGGAGAGTTGCGTGGACGAAGGTGGCAAAGCCGATAAAGCGATGGTAGATGAGGAGGGTTGAACTGGGGATACACAGAATTAGACTGAAAAGATTCGAACGGGCTGAAAGAAGGAGGGCGAGTCCGGCATTCGCAATGGTCAGCCAGCCGTATAATTTGTAGTCCGTGCTGTATTCAATGCTGTTGTAACCGAAGAGGATATTGAGGCCAGCGATGGCGAGAAAGCGGAATATGTTGGGGAAATGGTGGTTGGTTAAAATGGGGACCAGGCTGGGGCGAGTTATGAGTCTGTGCAGGATGGTATACGGTTTTGAATAGTGAGATGGTGAATTAAGGGGTGGTTGACCTGAAGAATGTGTTAGGATTTGGAGCATCTTTAATTGTTTTTGAGCTTACCACATGTTCGTAGAAGTCGGAAATATGATGGAAAATGGATAAGAGACTCGATGAGCAACAGTCCAACAACACATCCAAAATATATCCTCGCAACAGTGTATTGGTCTTCTATGACTGGCTGACGCATCTTGGATTTACAAGTTACAACAGTCTTGAAGAGAGTGGACAATAGCAGGAAGAAGATGGTAGAGGAGAGAGTTTGAAGAGGGAGCTTAGTTGATGTGAGGATGTGGGCGAAACTGGAAGTCGAGGGTGCAGAACTTATGAGATCACAGCTGAATGTGTCTTCCAATAAACTTCATTCTTCTTGGCAGGAGCTAAAAGATTCTACACGGGAATATTCGAGGCACGTACTCAAGTGCAGGGAACCTGTCTCATTTGAATGCAAAGCCTAGGATGTAAGGAATAGAGTTCGAGATAAGAAAATTTATTTTAAAGGTTGAATTTAAGAGGCGCTTAGCAATGAAGAATATCTTACCTTCTGGTCTTAGTAACTTGAACACTATAAAGAGGAAGTGTGGAATCATCGCGATTGCCAGATCCGGCTAATGTTATTTTTAGGGTAATATACCCCTGGGCATCGTCAACTTCTATATTCTTTGTAGCTAATTATCAATATATCTCTGAACCTCACTTGAACCACCAATTATCTTGATTATTATCGACTGATCTGTCAGCGATGTCTAACACTTGCTTGGGTAAAGAGTATTATTGAACACTACAAAGAGAAAGTGTGGAATCATCGCGATCTTCAGCACTTATTCAGGGGGAATGCATGTGAAAGCTCTGTCAAATTTAGGGATCTTTAGGAATCATTCCGATCTTTGGAGTTTGTTTGGTCAAGTTTGCCGAGATGGGATTTGGAATCTTTGCGGGAGGATATTGCCGTGCGGGAAATGGTCAGAGCGTTGTCGGCCCCTTTACCCCTTGGCGGGCCTTTCCGTTTCCTCAGCACTTAATTCCAGCATCACACTAGCGGAAGTGATCAAGTAGAGAATCCTATGGAAAAAGAGTGGAAAAGATATAAAAATAGCCAGTTTCCCATTAAGTTCCTAAGTCTTTCTTTGTGAACAATCAACTTCCACACTTCAGATATCAATTCTGCCCTTAACTCGCTGAATCGAATCTATCACTCCACCTCGAACAAGATACATCACTCTTGCCATCTCAGTCTTCACAACAGCATTCATGTTTAAGTCCGCGATTTCACTCCTCGGTCTTGGGCTCATCTACCTCGCAAGAGCCCAAAACGCAACAACCCAAAAAATCGGCTGGACTGGAACCCTTTCCTCTCTCGACGGCGGCTTAGGAGGAGTAGTAACTGTGACTAACGCAATGACCCTCACTATCTCTGATTATACGCTCAAGGATGCCAGCGCTCCCGCTCTCTACTGGTGGGGCGCAACCAACGGGGTTCTCGCTGACGGCTTCCGTATTTCCAACACCCACGTCACGCAAGCCGCTACTTCGAACATGGACACCATCAACCTGGATGCCGGCAAGACGACAGCGGATTTCACCACCGTTGGCTTGTGGTGCGAGCAGCTGAAGGCCAACTTTGGACAAGCAACATTGGCAGAGCCAGGCGCAGGCACGAGCGCTGCGTCTGCTGGGTCCACGATGAGTTCTACTGGAAGTGCACCAGCCGCAACCAGTTCAAAATCCGGTACGGATTCTGTTGGGGTTCCATATAGCGCACTCGCAATGACCCTTTTGGCTGCTACTGTCTTTGCGATTAAGATGGGTTAAGCTGGACTTCGCAGGAATTTGGAAGATATGGAAGGTTTCTCAAACTGTTGAGTCCGCAGCGTGTAGGACGTGGCCTATTTTGAAGTGCCGGGGGGCAAAAAGGTCTCGCTTGTTTCTCTTTACCATATTGGCTTCTGCTTCAGGGAACCTTATTTCATTGTGGATAGGCTTTCCAGATATCCTTTCGTCAGCTTCTAGGGGGTTGAGGTGTGTATTTAATCGCAACGATAGGGCATTAATAAGCCACCAACTCCTCACTGCTCTCTACTCTGTTTGACGGAACAAAATATCTTGCAATGGCTCCTTCGCGTACCTCACCTACCAGAAACCCCTTCAGCAGTCCAGCAACGACTTTCAAAAGAACAACTAGCCACCTTCGACATGAAATTTATAAAACCATCCATTTCCGTTTACTGGAATAATCAACGCGTTCTAAAGCCTCCATTTACGTTACGCTGACCAAGATGGACACGATTCTGGCTCAGACTGTGTCGGCAATCCAGTAGAATTGTACGATAGAGGGAGGTCCCCCGCCTATTCTGATATCTGCGGCCCGGTTCACAAGACCCACCATACGTAATTAAAGCCTTATTAATGACATAACAGCTGCTTCTCTGATATGATTTTCAATCACCCTTTGAACTGTGGAATTCAGAACATATGCAATTTCAAGGTACCGTAAATTCAAGCTAAAACCAATCATACATTCACTTCTTGGGGAAATGTTTCTACGCGACAAACTTCCGACTTTTTACTTCCGGCTTTCACTTCTTCTCTCTTTGCGCTCTACAGTACAGTAGAGTTCGAAATTGGCTTCAGTTCGAACTTCTCTGTGATTTGTTTTTCTGACCCACATTTTATGGGCACTAACCATTTATAGCTAGCCTGTACTCTGGTCCTGCGGTCGATTAAATCCGTGCTCGGGTGTTGTCACGTGGGGATTCTGTCTGGATTGAGAGCTCAAATACTAACGGCGAGTGCCTGTTTACTTAACGCACACAGTATTAATACAGTATAGTACTAACCTTAATATTATACCATCCTATTCGCTTGAAAAATCTATCTAATCTATACATCTTCAGTACTTTGGACTGATAATATAACATCCTCTTGCTCAGCTTTCCATATAACTAAAGATTCGCAAGATAATAGTATATCTGGATAATTAAGTCCCAAGACACGTTTCCGTAATTGTATACATTCTTCCATAAGTCTTACAGCTTCTGTTTCTCTGCCAGTTGCTTTCTACGTAAATGCCAGATTATTCATACTAGTCAGTATAGAAGGTTGGTCGGCCCCGAGTTTCTTCTTACTCGTTTCTATTACCTGCAGTGTGTCAAAAAAAAATCAAGGCTAGTTAATTATAGTTGATTATGATTTGATTCAGTAGATTTTGACTTGATTTGATTTGATTATGATTATAATTAATTATAATTAACTATAATCATTACGTAATACTAAGAAAACTTGAATTTCTCAAGTAACTTAAATAATTATTAAATAACTAATAGCTATATTAATAAGATATAAACAAAGCTTATAAAATGTATATAAGAGTATAAAGCTAGTCTAAATCTGGTATAAAAAACTGGTTATCCTCCTTAGAAACCTCTTCTTTATCTTTTTTATTCTTATTTTCTGCTTTTTTTATTCCTCCCTACTTTGAGGGATATTAAGATTAATTAAAGATTATTGAGACATTTTCGAATATATCGAGTAAAAATAAGTAAGTTTATAGTCTAAAGCTTCTTAATTGGAGCTATAGTTATTGAGATATTTATATATAAAATAAAAGGAAAGGAAATAACTTGAGGAAAATCACTTATTTATATATAAAGCCTCTAGAATCTAGAAGATTCTTTAATAAGCGTCTAATTAGATATAACCCCCTAATATTAAAGCGCCCATTTGTGAGAGGGCCTATTTTTAACTATTTTATTTATAATAATAAGATTTATAAGGTAGCGAGAAATTACGAGAAAATCGAGGAGGTTTTAGCGCTTTCGGCTAGTGCCGCTTCGCTTGCCAAGCGGCACGATACCCGATTTAGTAAGGAGCACCTTAAGCGATACCGGATACGGGCTAGCCTAAGCCTTATTTTAGCCTTATTTCGCTTTTCTAATCTCCGAGCGTACGTGCACGGTCACGTGACTAAATAATCAACTATAATCAACTATAGTTAATTATAGTTGATTATAATTTGATTAAGTAGATTTTGACTTGATTTGATTTGATTCAGAGGCGATAATCAAATCAAGCTAAATCATTTGATATACTGATTACCTGTACCTTTAACTCTTCAGCAGCATCCAATCGGCCTTGCTTCTAGTATATCGACGCTAGGCTGGATATACTAGTCAGCGTATATGGATGGTTCGCGCCGAGTTTCTTCTTGCGAGTCTCTACCACTTGTATAAATAGCTCTTTAGCAGCGTCCTACCGGCCTTGCTTCCGGTATATCAACGCCAGGTCGGCTTCACTAGTCAGCGTATCTGGATAGTCCGTACCGAGTTTCTTTTTACGAGTCTCTATCACTTGTATAAACAGCTCTTCCGCAGTATTCCATTGCCCCCTAAGCTTATATACCAAGCCTACTATTACTATACTATCTAGCGTATTATTATACTCTCGATTAAGGATCTTTTTTCTAACTTTCATTACTAGAACGGATATCTTCTCTGCCTCTATACCCTTCCCTATTCTCTATACATACTATATTGCCTTATAGAGTATTAATGCCCAGTTACTTAATAAGTCTCGTTCTTCCGGTTATTGTACTACTACTAATTATATATACGGGAAAAGTTCTCGATATTTAGGCTAGTTCTCGTAACTTCCTATTAGGAACTCGGTATAAAGAGTCTTGAAATAATGTTACTTCTACTATTCTAGCTACCCGTTAGTTTCCATCCATGTTCTTGTCGCTAGTTGTACTAGCGCATGCATCTCGAATATAGATTGTATCTTAGAAATAGAGATAAACGAGTAGTTTCCTAGTATTAGTACATTGTCCTCAAATTCATCTATTTGCTTATTATTCGTACTGTCCCGTTTCCCACCTCTATAGCGGTCTCTGTTATAATGAAAAAGTGCCAGCCACTGGATTCCCCGAAAAGGCTTCTTCTGCGGACTGGTTTTGTTTTTGACTTGACTTCGAACCAGAGATTCAGGAATCTCTTACCGGTCACACAAGCTCATTAGTGCTAGCAAACTAGCTGCCGACGGCCTGATGTGGTATAGGTAAGTAAAGGAGATATGCCATATAATAATAATAGAATTCTTGGCTTCTTTATCTTTTTAAAGATGTCCTGCTTTATTGTCTAGGAGACTTATCTTCTTGCGGTCGCTCTTCTGAAAGTCTTATAGGTATTGCCTTACGGAATAGTGCAATTCCCTTTGAGAGATATAAGCTGCCGCCTGAATAATAGCAAGTGGCATAAACTCGAGTACCGCTATAAGCTCAGTAATATTATTACTATTATTATACCTTTCTAGCTTGTTCTTAAAAAGTATTAGTATATTTGCCCTGTCTATCGGTTTAACTATAATAATATCGCGCTATTCTACTAATTCTAGCGCAGTGCTTTTGCTTCGTATTATAATAAGAATTAATCTATTCGGGTATTACGGGAGATTATTGAAAAATAATCGATATATTAATGGAAAATCGATATATTAGAGGTTGACAGTCTGTAGAATAACTAGATACAAGAGAGTGAAGTGTAAGAACAGATGGAAAAGTGTCTAAAGTAAGGGACTTATTCCTATTACCCTTTGGCAATATTAGTAATACCGAGCTCCCTTTCTCCGATATATTATTAATTAGCTAATAAATCAAAAGTAATTAAAATAATGATATACTAGTAAGCTTAGTAAGCTCGGCGAGTAATACATAACAAATGAGAATAGAGAACCCTAAATTAGTAATTAAACCTAGTACTAGAAGGACTAGTAAGCTAGCTATAGTAGTATACTAATTTTAATAGAGATAATTAACGAGCGGTTATAAGTTCCTATTGCCTTTACCATTTATTTGCCCCTCTTAACCAGTGCTTTATATCTTAATAAGAAAGCCAGTATTATCTATATTAATAAGTATAAGAAGCCACTTTCCTTTCTTATTATTACTTAGCCAGTTATATACGACCTAGAAAATATTGGCCGTTGGATTCTGCCGCCCGCAGACCTTGATACGGTCCGTAATATCTCGAAAGCTCTGCTTAAACCGGGCCGTATTACTTGTATAAACCCAGAATACCTATGTCTCTCGTAAGCGGTCTCGAGTTTAATAGGCGTATTTAATGGCAACTTACGACTTGCTTTATAGTAGTTAGCAAAGCTATCTGTATTAATAAGAGCAATTACACCTACCCAATACTGCCTAGGCCAATAAGTGCGGTTCGAGATCCTAATATAGTATATTTCTACTAGATCTAATCAAGTATCTCTTGCTCGACAAAGTCTGTATCGTAACTAAAGGGTATAATAATCGACGGGTTCGGTAGTGTCTCCGGTCGTTCTTAGGCGGGGTTATTATTAGCGCCGGTTAGCTTGGACCCTTATAACTTACCTGGAGAGGTATAATAATGGAACTTAGTATTTACTGGGCCGTAAATTATTCCGGCTTGGAATCCGGAGTTGGTGGGGTCAAAAGATATGGCGGATGCTATTATAGTAGAGTAGTTTGGTAATAAAGTATAGTAGCTGAGTGTATTAATATACTTATAGTTCGCGACTTTTAGCTGCAATGACTTGAGGCTCGACTTTTAGCTGAACTTTGCAAGGCGATATGCCACGAGATAAATTCGTCTAGTAGGAAGAGTACCGTCTCGTCCCGGTACAGATTAGGCTTCTCGAGCAAGAATTCACATAGAGCGTCTAATATGAGAGGGGTAATGCTTCGGGGCCTCCTATACTATTCGAAGGGGCTTTTATAGAGCCAAAATAACGAAGGTTTGACTATATCACATATACGGCACGCTTACTATAACCTATATCTTTAGCTATTTCGGTAGGAGGACAATTACTTAGGGTCATATTACGAATCTGTATATACTAAGGCTCTACGAGATTCGGTGCTATTCTGGGGAGTGGTATATGTGAGCGAGAGTATCATTGTTATACTATTATTAAAAGGACAGAGCTCTATGATATAAGGGTTCATACACGTCTGATAACGAAGCAGTACATTCAAGCCCTTAGAGTCTTTCGCCCGTTGAATTCCAAAGATGTTACCGTTCAATTAAGAAATATACTAATCAGCCATAGCAATAATATAATATGTCTACTTGTTTCCAAAATTGATTCCACTCACTCCGCCGGTAATATTCCCAGCTTGAAAGCCCGAGTTCTAAGTACCGAAAGTCACTGTAATTGAACCGCTCTGGCTTCCCGCTGCTTTCGCAACAGCCTCTTCCTGCGACTTTAACAGCAGCTCACTCAGTAGTGTCTGCGATGCTTTCACCCCTTTAAGTTCTTCTTTAAGTTATCACAATACCTCACTTTTGCCTTCTATCGGTATAGCCACTTCCTTATTATTATTACTGAGGTTCATCTCTTTTACCTTGTTCTCTAATACTATTAGTTACTTATCTGCTATAGTTATAGTACCTTTAACCTCATCCTACTTTATAGATATTATCTTCTTTATCTCCTCCGTAAGATGGGTATTACGGATAGAACTATACCTGTAGGAAGGTTAGCTCATCCTCTATATTATATAGATGAACTGAAGCTACCTATAAGGCTATAACGCCGATAATGAGGATAATAGCGAGCTTACAGCTTTAAAGCTGCTCTAACATGGCCTTAACTTGGTCTTTCTTAAAGAATCCCACATTCGCTCGGTCCTGCCACACCAGCTTTCCATCTTCCGAGTATTTGGTCCACTTCTCGAGATCGGCCCTGAAAAGGTTACATGCTTGCGTGCTGCTACTAATTGCTGTCTTCGATTACTCAGCTATATCTGTACCAAGTAAGCCCCATTCTCTCTCCTCTATACTTTGGAGCAATTTAAGTACCATATTAATAGAGTATATATCTTCCACCAGATGCTTAATGGTTTTAGGTGCGTCTTTGAGCTATTATAAGTCTTCCAGAACCCTATAGAGCTTCTGTATTAATTATAACTGGCTATAATTAATTATAAATTAAGTAGATAAATAATAACTCGGTTAGATTAATATTTGAGATAATAATAGTTTTTTCTACTAATAAATCTCCTTATAACTTATAGAGTTTATAATATATTACTATTATAATTTGTAGAATGCTTACGAATCTAATAATAATAGGAATTCGCCATATTATAGTACTAAGTAATTGCTTAAATTAGAGAAGAGAAAGCTATTAAATATACTCTCAGAACTATATAACTTTACTAATAATATTACTTAATATAATATTAACTCTATATTAAGACCCCGAAGTTATATAAGTATTGAAATCATTACTATAGCTTCTTTATTATTATTCTTCTTACCTATTCTTACTTCCCTCCTTATACTATTACTATCTTATTAGTTTCTTTATTAGTAGAGATCATAGTATTTTCTCTAACCTTTTTAGTTAGGCGGCTAATTTGAGTAGATACTATACTAGTTTTAGTCTCTTTTATAAGGCATGCCTTGTAATTAAATCTCTAGCTCTTCCCTGACTTCATATCTCTCTTATTAATATAATTAGATATTATATACTTATAGTATAACTAGTAGTATTATATTTTAAGTAATACTAATAATAATACTATATAATACTATTTATAAATAGTATTATAATTCATAATTATATAGAATATAGAAATATATATTATTTAATTAATATATTATATTTAAATTATATATTAATAATATATAATATATTTTAAAAAAGGCAAATTAAAGTTTAAAATAAGTTTAAATTATATTACTTGAAATATTTATTATCTTTAATTTAATATAATTTTACTATAATTAATATAAAGTTAGTATTAGTATAGCTGTTCCTTTAGGAGTCACGTGCGCAGTCACGGGACACGGGACACGGGATATGAGTAATAGGACATGAGTAATAGGATATGGGTAATAGGATATAGGTAATAGGATATGGGATATGAGATATGGGTAATGGGATATAAGATACGGGATATAGTTATATAACCTCGCGTCTTATTAGTAACTCGACTAGTAGACTAGATCTCTTTAGGCTTAGTAGATTTAGGGATCGCATATTAATATTATAATACTATAATTCTTATTTTTAAATAATAATAACTTTACTAACTAATATAACTAGTATTTCTATACCTATATAATAATACTATATATTACTAGTAAACTAATACTAATTAGTTTATATATATAGATTAGAGAAGATTTTAGATTAGTCCTAAAAGTATTTAGTAACCTAAGACAAATCTAGTCTATTTTATATTAAAGGAAGGAACTACTTATTAACTTTACGAAAGTATTTAGTAGCTTATAGAGAAAACACCTAGCTCTTACTAATTAATAAGCGATTAGTTATTTAATTATCTATTTATTTAACTTCTATTATTTTTTAAAACTAACTTTTTTTGGCCCTAAGACTATTTTCTTGGAAACTATTTCTTTAACTTATATAATACCTATATTTACGGGAATACCTCTCCGGAATATATGTCCTATATATGCCCTTAAAGCTCCTTAACTACTACTTCGATTTTATTATTAAATTGAGTTCTTTGAGCTTTAGATCCTCCCGGAATTATAATATTTTACTTCCTAAATTTCTTATTATAGACGAAAATATTTAAGAGCAAAATATTTACTTTAATATCTTACTAGGTATCTGGGTATCTAATATCTAAATCAGGTATCTGGTATCTTAATCAGGTATTTAAACTAGGTATCTGGTATCTAAACCAGGTATCTAAACCAGGTATCTAGATATTTTTACTACTAAATTCTTTTTATAAACTTACTATAAAT